CAAAAGTCTATGAAAATAAGGATTTTGGTAATGGTGTATGAAGAAGTCAAACGAGCGAAGGTAATGTTCGAGGCTACTTGACCAATGTTTCATATAAAGTTTAATAGTATGATGTTTAACTGCAACAACAACTATAACCATTGTAAGGACTGGCACAAGAACGACTACCAAAACAGCCTAAACCGCTTACACTGCCTTTAATAGTAGCACAAGTAACATTATTAGCAGTACAACAATGACCATTACAACAAATACCAGTAGTACAACAAGCACCACTACTACAACAAAAAACACCAGGACAACAAACACCACCACAACAAGCACCATCACAACAAACACCATTACAACAATTAAAATCACAACAAGTACCATTACAACAAGTACGACTACCAGTACAACAAACATTATTACAACAAGGACCACTACAACAAAGATCATTACAACAACTACCATTATAATTACAACAAGTATTATTACAACAACCAGCAGAAGCACAACCAGTACCATTACAACAATCAGAATAATAAGTAGAATTAAGACAACAAGTATCATAAGTAGCATCAGTACAACAAGCATCAGTACCAAAACCAGTACCACGATTATAACCAGTATAACAAGAACCAGCACAAGTACCACCATGATTAGAACCAGCACCACCACCAGTATTAACACCAGTACCACCACCATAATCACAACAATTATTAATATAATTACAATAACCATCACAAAGAGTAGTAGTACTACCACTATTAGTAGAATAACTAACCATACAAGTAGTACAATTTGGCGGTGCCATAGTTGTAGTCGTAGTAGTGGCTAAATAGATAGATTGAGTTATAGTTAAGTTTACAACGTCAGGGTCCGAACAATATCATCGTAGCGCGTGGGTTAGTGGACTTCAGTTTATTTTTGAATTTTTATATAGAAAGCTCTTACGAGCTCAAGATACAATATAGGCTAGATTTAGAATTTGAAAATCAATACTTTGGAATTATTTACCTATTAACTGAAATTCGTGGGGACATACCGTGTTGCATGAAAATCAGGTCTAAATGCTAAATCTACAGTCTCGGGTCCGTTATTTCCAGTTTAGAGCTACTCTGACTTTGACTTTCAAGTAATTGTGGCCCATCCAGAGGTGGCTGGAGAAGGCTCAGCCTGGGTGTGGGTGGTATGGATGTGGGGGGTGTGGGTGGTACGGATGTGGGTGGTGTGGGGGTGGTAATCTTCTGTTTGAAAACCTACACCCATGCCCTTTTGTGCACGCATTTTAAATCAAAATATAAGAACCTTAGAGAGAACAGAGGGTGCTGATTCATGGAAAATAACAAAAGAAAACACTTTATATTCTTATTTTGTTTCATCTGCTCAAAAGAAGTGTTGATCAATACATTTGAACTATGATGCGGATGCCGATGAAAATGTTCTTTTACAGTTGTTTGATTCATATACGTCTACTGTTGATAATGATAAACCTTTTGCAACTTCTCTAATGAAGTCATCTCAAAATATTACCACTAAACGAGAAAAATATACAGCTTACAGAAAAGTCAATTCACAGAATATCTGCTGGTGTTATTGATATTAGTCATTTATGTGAAGATCTACCTACTCAATATAAGTTCAGTTCCGATCAAAGAAAACGTGAAAATTGATCATTCATGGTAAAAAGGTTTAATGAACGTACATGACTAGAATACTCAATCGAAAAATATAGTTGTTACTGATATCATTGCTGATATTTAAGTGCGCCAACATCATCATGGAATAAAAAGCCTCAAATCGATGCATTCGTCAAAAATGCATTTGAAAATTGGAAAGATGCATTTGGCAAATCGAAAGGTTTTGATTAACATATGAAAAGTCAAGGTCACATTTTAGCAGCAAGGACTACGCAGTTTATTAACACAGAGAACAATCACAGCGAATTGTGATACACGTGTGAGGAAGAAGTCACATGGAACATATACACCAAAGCCAAGAGTGACTCGCGAAAATTGTATCAGTCTTATTATATATATTTAAACTTCTTTATTGTTTTCATTTCATTGTTCGAGGGGAACTCAAGTCCTCTATAATGAAAGTTCGAAAAACAGGTGATCAAGTTGCTCTACAAAAATTTCTTGTTTGCATCACTAACAAGTAGGAGAGAGAGAAAGACATCTTCTTTGCTATAGTGTTGTATTCTTGGACTTAATTACCTCTATTTATCATTGTTCACTGAATTACTTCAAATTTAAATGCAGTTTTCTTTAGCACAAGTATCTTATTAAAAAGTTGTATCAGATATGAGAGCGATGAAGTACATCCAGGAGAAAACGAGTGAAGACAAACTTTTTGATAAACGTATTTTTTTTATTTAGTACTTTTATTTATTCTTTTGTCAAAGACCATTTTCCTTCCATATATTGTTCCTTGTAGATTTGTAAATATAGTGAGTTTGAGTTAGAATGTGCACATATGATTTCTACCTCATCTTCAAAGAAGACAGGTCACCGAAAAAGATCTGGAATAGACCAATAGATTCGAAATTTTTAAGAAACCATTCAAAAGTTTTCTGCAGAACAAAAGATCTATTAATCATAACTGAACAACGAAAGTATGGTTGCGGATGTGGATACGATGAGAGAACGTGGGTGGGTGTGGATGTATTCTTTGTAATAACATCTACACCCGCATCTTCCCAAACCCGTTACGAAACTAAAGTGGCAGTAGGCACCAAAAGTCGCCATATTCTCACACCTTGTCAGATCTCAGCTGAACATTTTCTTCCTGCCTCATATGCTAAGTTTCAAAGATATGATTTCTAATACTGCCTTGCATTATGCGACAAGAACAAAGACTGGTCAAGAATACACTGTCACTTCGAATGTAGAAATTTTAACTAATTACTACGAAATTCTGCTTCATATTTTTTCAAATGAAAGCTATTAGAAGAAAGCCATACTTAAGAAATTCAAAAACATGCAATAGTGAAAATGATCCGGTATATCAAAAGTCTTTCCGAAAAATCTTTCATAGCAAACTTTGAAAAACATAATCTATAGAACATGCCAGCTCCTGAAAAATCCAATTTCAAAAGTGAGATATAAGACGCCGACAGTTATTTCGACAGAAAAAAACAATCCTTCCAGATCAATAAAATGCTCGCTGGGGACCTCAATTATTAAAACATCGAACATATGAACATACTGGTTGTTGTTGTTGTTGCTGATGTTGTAGTTGTCGTTGTAGTTGTTGTTGTCGAGGTTGTTGTTGTAGTTGTCGTTGTAGTTGTTGTTGTCGAGGTTGTTGTAGTTGTTGTTGTCGAGGTTGTTGTAGTTGTTGTTGTCGAGGTTGTTGTAGTTGTTGTTGTCGAGGTTGTTGTAGTTGTTGTTGTCGAGGTTGTTGTAGTTGTTGTTGTTGAGGTTGTTGAAGTTGTTGTTGTCGAGGTTGTTGTAGTTGTTGTTGTTGAGGTTGTTGAAGTTGTTGTTGTCGAGGTTGTTGAAGTTGTTGTTGTCGAGGTTGTTGTTGTTATTGTTGTTGTCCTCGTCGAACCTTAAGTATAGAAGAAGAATATTCTTAGTTCTAAACTAGGATATTTCTGATTTGATGAAATGATAATGTCAAGGAGATTTGAGCTATTAGAAGGATATGGTAAGCAATAATTCGAATATTGATAGAAAGGATAAGCTTTCTTATTTATTGCCATTTCTGAATGAGTCGTCACATCTTGAATATAGAAAAGGGTTTTTGATAAATTTGTATCAGAATGCCTCTGGTTTGTTAAAAATGGATTGTCTTTTAGGAACTTTGGCAAGTGGGGAAAGGGTGGGAGGTTCTTTCCATTTTCGTGACATAGAGTGTTTTGGTTTGTTTTCAAAGTCATTACTTCAAAGATGTTTGGATCGTTTTAGTCAATTTGACGGTGTAACTCTTTACTGGTCGTTTTTACTTTTACTGACGGATGTTGCTGCTATGGTTTCTTGTCAATAAAACCGCGTTCGTTTCCTCGAATGGATCTCGATAGAAAAGAAGTATAAAAAATACCCATGTGTACTTGAATAGTCAGTTTGTTGTTTTTTTTATAACGAATACTTAGCTTTGAAACAGTTCTTTAGACACATCGTACAAAGAGTTCTAATTTTATGAATCAACGAAAAAAACAATAATTTGTAACATAGATTATTCTAGGTCTTGATGCTACTTCTTTAAGGGCCTGGTCGTCTAGAAAAACGTTTCAATACAATTTTCATATGCTCCAAGTACAACTCGACGAACTCCTGCATAAGATGAACACTGTTTCCCAATAGATTTTATAGCAACTATCAAAACCTTGAAGTACCAGTTTTCCTCTCGTTCGACAAAGTAAAAAAATCAATGATTTTTCGGTCGAGTGGCTAATCAAAATGTTTCAACAAAACTATTCATGTTCTAAGTGTAATTTGTTAAACTCTATCAAATGGAGAAAATCTTATCTAAGTTGTATGCTCCATTCTCAATATATCATATCTTTACCGGCAACATTTGCCTGGTTCTGCAGTATTTCCTGGAACAATTCACCTACGAAAATGATCCAACAAAAGCATTCATGTTCCAAGGACAACTCAATGAACGTTAGCGGTTGCTAAATCATATAGCAACAGCAGGCTTTGTTCTCATAGGATTCTCTGCTTATCAGCGCAGTTATCTATTTGGCGCAGGTTTTATTTCGGCCTGTAAATAGACGATTTCATAAGAACAAAGCATGCTATTGAGATACGATTTTTTGCCAACTAAAAGTGTTTATCGGGTTGTACTTGGAATATGAATAGTTTTGTTGGAACTTTTTGATGGGCGAGTTGTTCCGAAAGTCATCGATTTTGAATTTATTCAATGGGAAAAAGTGATATTTGTGATTTTTATTGGATATTATAAGATGTATCGAGCAACGGTTTTCATCATCTGATAGAGCTTGACGAGCTGTGCCTGGAACATGTGAAAGTTCTCTGGAAACTTTTTGCTGGGTAAATCGATCCTGAAAAAAAGTCGAATTTGGACTTAACGTAATTTATGTCAATTTATGTCAAGTGGCAAGACGAAGATAGTATGCAGAATCATCTTAAGTGTCTTGTTCGAATAAAACTAAGATAAATTTAATTATAATTCTTAAAACCTTGATGTAAGCAAGCGTAGAATAAATACTATGCCTTTCTTCATCAAAGTATTGGAAGATGGCGGTAAAATTTTGAAAGCAACTTTTTTATTAGCAAAAACAACGTTTCGATGTTGAGTTATCTCTTGCCCTGAGGATTCTTGCTTCATTTAAGTTACCACAAAAACTGTCTCGTGAAGATATCTTACGTCAAAAAATTCCAGTCTAGTATGTAACTATTGACAAGTCTTTCGTTTTCTTGAATTTAGTTCTTGTAACAAAATAATAAGAAAACTACTCACGTAAAGTAAGAAGAAGAGCCACTGCAATGACAGCTGCTATAAGACCGATGCATATACAACATGCAAATATAAACCGAGCAGGAGAACAGACCATACGTTTGTTGCGTTTTTTCAGGCTACATGTGAAAATGCGACAATGCAGGGCTAACATCTATGAAATAGCTTCTTATAGTCGCTTTCTTACTTACTTAAATCCGTGTATTGTATCATTTCCAGTGCTAATATCAGTTGAAAGTATGTCGCTTGGAGCTATTCGTGATCGGCGAATCGAGATATCATTATTGAACCACGAATCAGCATTCAATGGACTTTTCGCTACCTATAAAGTATGCATCTGTATTGTTAAAGATAAGTTCTAACGATCCTTCTCGAGCAAAAGATACGTTGGTGTGAAATGAAACAACACCATCCAAATAACATTCAATGATCTCCTCAAAAAATTTATCTGTACAATCATATCTGTTGTGAGCAAGGATAATTAGGCAGCTACAGCAGCTAAATCGATTACTCCCAAGCAGTATGCATATATTGAAGAGATAGCACCATCTCAATTTCCATCGTTCTACAGTTTAAAAAAGGTTTCGAAAAACCTCACGACGACATTCATGCTTCACTTCGCATTAACTTCCCTATCACTAGGGCGCTTTTGAACAGTAATTGGACTATACAAACAAAATATTTGACAATCCAGCCACACCTACGTATGATTCACACCAACTTAGGCCTAAAATGCAACGAATATAAATACTAATATGCAAGTGTTCGATAACCAGCACCACCAGGGTGCTGGCTTTTGTAGTCTAGAAGCCCGATCATTAGGCCATACCGAGTATAAATGAGGCATGAGGCTGAGTCCTATTAACCCTACTCAGCGGATGCTTATTCGCTACCGACCCAAACGTCATACCGAGCCCTCCCCTCGGTTGACCCTATCACGGTACCCGCCCTCTAATACTACTTGCCCTCTGGTAAGCAGAAGACCGTCCCTCGCCCCGTTTTAAGTCTTAGTCGACCGTATAATTGGAGTGTTTGAGAGAGATACTTAACATGAATGCCCGTTTGTCAGATGGTACCCCCGCATCAATTGATCAGCCAGGGTGGTCGAAGCAACCAACTTGGGGAACGAGACGCGCTCAGGACCCGGACTCGAACCGAGACCCCTGGATTAACAGTCCAGTATCTTTCCAGTTAGACGACCGTGGTCTCATGCTTCACTAATAAGAGTTATAATCGTCTGGCTAAACCGATTGACGTATTTGTTTTGCCAGTTTTCAATCTTTTTGAATAAATCTGAAAGCTTTTATTGTGAGCGTATGATTTTTACTGACTTTTACGGTTTGAAAAAGTCAGCCGATTGCAATTCTGCAATAGATTCATTAGTATTGGGTAATTATTATTTTTTTAATATTTAATTTTGTGAAATTACAATGAAATCTTCCAGAGATTCTTGGTTAGATTATAATTATCTAAAAATTGTATCGAGAGCTACAATGATCAACATTTCTTGAATCAATAAACGATGTAAGGCGAGAGTAGTTGAGCTAGAAGATAAGCAGCCATGCACTACTCAAACAGTTCAATCCAGAAGAAATTACGGTAGTTCTCTGCGACGAAAATTTCAACACTTACCATGGTGACAGTAAGTATTTTCATAATTAAAAAACTTTTTATTTAGCATAGATAAATTGTTAGTTCATCCATTGGTTATTTATTTTTGTATGGTGAGTCCTATCCATTACTACTTCTTGATAACAGTAATGGAAATATGACTCTCCTATTCCAGAGGATATTATACAAAATCAAGATATGACTCATGTTTCTTCAAACACTGATCGATTGAAGATACTCCAACTGTAAATGATGGTTCCGAATACCACTTTTTCGCTTGTAAAAATAATGCAAGAAAATTTTCAAAGAATTTTGGAATTTATAGTCAAAAGAGAATGGAAATTGCTGAGCCAAAATGAACCTGTAATAAAGTAACTGTACAGTACGCTCGCAAATGACTGCTGTGAATTGAGTCATTAGCTTTGAAATATTTTTTATGAACATCACATGCAGTAGTGTCTTCTCAGAAAATTTTTTACACCCATGTAATTTAAGCAAACATACGTGAGATATTGTAGCCGAGGTATGCTGACTGAAATCTCCGGTCGGCAGTGACCGGGGAGATAGTCTAATCTTATTGATTGAACTGCGCAGCGATTCTCTGCAAACACCAGTGGAGCAACGTGTATTATTCAAATCAGATTCAACTGAATTCTAAATAACAATCATCGTTTATCTTAATTTTTCATTTAGTTTCTCGATTTACATTAGTCAATGCTGACTGCACGAAAATTTTATCACGATTCTTATGTGCACTTGGAATTGATTCAAAGCGTAAGCCTTTGATCGACGATTTAGCTGACATCAGATCTTGCTTGGAAGTCTGAATCTGCATACATTTTGGCTATAATAAAAACTGGAAATGAAAATTTTACATACTCCTACAGTCGGTGGTTGACTCAAAGAACGATGACGACTGTTAACTTCACTGGCCAGTCGTTCAACGCTTCTTCCACTGAATTTTTCTTGAACGATGAGCGAACGTTCAGTTGATTTCTAAAAATAGATATGTATGAAATTTCATCTGCAATTCTTTAGAGCATTAGCTACAATGCAAATGGATTGCAAAAGAATTGCTTTTCTTTCTTTTCTTTCGTTAAACGATGAGATTATTCACTTAGGGAAGTGTGAGTTTCGATTAGTGTTGTTTTGGATCTGATAATCACTTTCGGTTTAGGTACTGATGCCTACTCTTCACTTGTAATCATATTCCACCTGCATAATCACACCACAAACCCTCGTTGGATTGCAAATTTGATATTGGAATAGCTATATTAAGCATTCAATCGTGAGAATAACGCTAGTCTTTATGAAGTTTAAATGATTTAAAATTATAGGTAATTTTAATTTTCTGATCTATCAATGAACTTTTCGAGCTTTATTTCGCTACTGATATGCAAGCAAAAAATACTTTTATCATAAATTTTATACGCAAAAAGAGTAACACAAATCCTTCGAAAAAATTAAAACTGTAATTGTTTTTTTATATATCCAATGGCGACAATATTTTTATCTGTGTCAATTTGATAGTTTTCTTTGGAGAAAAGCAGAAAAATTAAGGTGATCTGAAGAGAGTTGAACACGTTGTTTACGCATAGTATCATGCATCTTCCGTATGTGCCATCTCAGATAAAATAAGAGAAGTGAAAAGCACTAAATTTTAAGAGGAAGTGAAGGTTTTCTTTTTGGGGGTAATATAAAAATGAGGGACAGAAAAAAGCAATAACAATAGGATAAGGCAAAATGTGAAGAAATCAAGGATAAATATATTTAATGAACCATATGCTCCCATCGCGTGTAAGGCAGATACTGGTAAAGACGATGTTATGAATCCGTGAAAAATATTCATATATGCTGTGGCTTTATTAGTGGCATAGTTTCTTAACAATCAGGTTCGCGAATAAAAGAAAGTTATTAAGAGTTTTGGAATAAATCAGTCACACATTTGTATGAAAGAAATCAAGACGACCTTAATAGCGTTATTTTCTAATTAGACACATAAGGGGATGGGGACGATAAAATATAGAAATTTCCTCTATAACTAAGGACTATTTGTTAGAATTTAATTGACGAAGTATTTGACCCACTTGACGCCGAATCAGACTTGTAATATTGAACGAGAATCTTGAGACTTATATGAACCACGGACTTGAACCGAATTCACGTATCTCGAACCTTTGGCTATAGTACATGCCTAGCAGAGATGAGCACATGACAGCTTGTTCTCTTTTAGCCTGTCCTATCCTTCTGGCTCCTTCCATCCTGGCGGTCAACAGAACACAACGCAACACAGAACAGTAAGTACCCTTATTGTCACTTTCTATCATCAAATTACATAGTATGTTATTGCCTCGCTTATAGCTAATTTATTTTGTATCACTTTTAAATGCAACAATTCAAGTTTCAGATAATGGCAAGTACTGTAAAAACAAGATAGTGTAGAAACATCCTGATTAAGCGATGTAAAAAAACGGTGATAACAAAAGATTAAAAATCACATTGAAAATCGATAAAAATGGCACTATTATAACCTGGCTTTAATCAGACTTTTCACTCTTCGAGACAAATTTTCTTTGGCTTTCATCTTTTTCAATCTATTTAAATCAATTATTGAAATTCAACCAATTACAACTGACTATTAGAAATCGATTTTAATTAATTACATTTTATTAACCGATTAAAATAGATTCAACAGACTAAAATGAAATGAAATCTTTTTTTAAGGCTTAAAAAGAATTAATTAAAATCAGATTAAAATAGTGCTATTTTAATCGATTTTTACTCTAATTTTTAAGGGTTTTTTTCCATGGGAACTATTTAAATTGTATGTTGATCATGGAAAATAAATACAAAGAATCATGCGTCTATGGCGTTTCAACATCACCATCTTAACATATATTATGTCACAAACAAAATTAAACGTAGGTTGCATTTATTTCTAATTAGAGTCAAAATTACACATAAATCATTTTTAATTAAAAACAAATGTGCATTCTCATTCGTATTAAGAAAACATATCAAGCAGTTGCTTTTTAGACTAGGTAAAGTATTCTCACCTGTCAATGCTCTTATGTAAGAGTCGATTACATCTTATGTGTCGGTATCGCAAAATTGCATTCAAAGATATATCTATCAACAAGCGAAGTAACATTTTGAATATTTCGAGTATCAAATTCCAAGAGAATGCATAAGTTAAAGGATTCTTGATTTTTTTTTCTGGTTGAAAAATATGTCATCAAAAATTAACAATACCAGATGTTTATATTTATTGTGTCATCTACGCATTAGATGAAATTCGAAAACAATTCAAGAGTGATAAAAAATACTACTCAAACAGCATAAACTCAAGAGGCTTAGTTCTTTTTACCGAAGCTGTGAAGACAAATTAAATTTCAATAGAGAATAGAGGCTAACCATAGAGCTTCCTAGATTTAACTAATTAACATTGAATTAAAACTAAAGAGAGCTTAATATAGATGCATAAGA